ATCGCCAAAATAAAATACAAAAAGCTTAAGAAGCGTCCATCCGTGGCAAAGAGCAAAATGACCGCTTTACTAAAACCGCTGATGCATTTCCTGATCACCTCCATTTATCTCGTTTGAAACAAAATGGTTTCTATTGTTATACCCACGTGTCACGGCACAGACTTAAGTACATTCTGAAACAGTTACTGGCTATTAGATTATTGCAACCTCTGTATCCTCAAATCGTCTGCCACCGACCAGTCTCAAAAGGCTTTTGACCGTGACCAGCACTAGGGCGCGATAAATACGTATGTATTGTAAGATGATTGGCAAATTTGTATTCAACAAGAATTGCCGAAGCTTACTAATGCTTTGCAAATGCTGCTGTTTACCATATTTTTGTTTTCTTTTACCGATATCATATCCAGCGAAAATTGCCATTCATCAATGAAAATTTAATATTTTGATTTAAAGTGAGACAGGTTACCAAGAACTGCAATTTCTACACACATGCCCATAAATTAAGGATAATGCAAAATCAGGCAAAGGAAGAGTTAGAAGCAAAACAAATTTGACTTATTTGTAAAGCTTATTTATTAAACAAAAGGTAAAGAGCGAAAAAAAGATGCTATAAGTTTGATATTATTAAAAAAATTAGCGATTTTTTCCTCCCTGGAGCAAATTACAAAAAAAAAAAAAAAAAAAAAAAAAAAAAAAAAAAAAAAAAAAAAAACTGTTTACAAAAAAACAATATTATATGGTTGGTATGATTGTTAATACAATGTATGTCTCCCAGACGATGCAATACAGTCCGTACAACGCCTAGGCATGCTGAGTATCAAATTATCGATCTGATCTTGGGGGATATTACACCACTCAAAAAGCAATGCTTTCAGAAGTTCCTGTAGACATGTAGGAGGAGGTTGACGGGCTGCAACTCGTCGGCCAGGCATGTCCCACACGTGCTCTAATGGATTCAAGTCCGGTGAGAATGCTGGCCAGTCCATACGGGTGATATCCTCCGATTGAAGGCATTCGCTTACGATGTTTGCATAGTGAGGACGGGAGTTGTCATCCATAAACACAAATTGCGCGCCCATGGCGCCCCGAAACAAACGTACGTGTTGTTCCAGAATGACGTCCCGATAGATTTGGTTTGTCATGGTTCCAATTTGAACATGCAGGTCAGTTCTGGAACCCAGAATAATTCCATCCCAAATGAGCACTCCTGCACTACCGTAAGGGTGTCGTTCAATGATGTTTTCTTGGTGGTAACGGGTACCTGGAGCTCTCCATAAGAAAGTCTGACGAGAATCAGACTGCAAGCTAAACCTGGACTCGTCGGAAAACATCACACAAGCCCACTGTTGCGGTGTCCACAATGCATGCTCTCTACTCCAGGCTAACCGCAAGCAACAGTGAGTTGCAATAAGTGGAACGCATCTGACAGTCTACGAGCATATAAACCAATCTGCCCTAAGCGTCTGTACACGGTCTGCCTTGAAATTGTCGTACCAGTGGCTGAAGATAGCTGACGAGACAGGTCTGAGGCTGTGCTCCGCCTGTTTCTTTTGGCAGTAACTGCCAAATACCGGTCCTCATTCGGCGTTGTAACTCTGGGGCGACTTGTGCTGTAACGTCTACTCACATTACCATCATCTTGGAATCGTTGCCAAAGCGTGGAGATGACACTCTGGGCAATTCCAAGTTCGTCTGATACTTCCAGTTGGGTACGCCCACATTCAAGACGGCCGATAATTCTATCACGTATAAATCATCCAAATGCGTCCTTTGTGTCATAACTATTCGGTTATTGCACTGAAATGCTTATAAAGGGCCTGCGAACAATTTTACTTCTTTGCCTGTATTCCTTATATATCACTCTCTTGTACTCTCGTCATTGTGACGTACCATCGGTGTCATCTGGTTACTTACTAAAATTTGCATATGATTCTTGAAGATGTGTATAGTGATTTCACAGGTGATGTATTTATTTTAGAGTTCGATTTCCGCGTGACTCCGAATTATCCTTTATTTATGGACATGAGTGTAGTAAAGGAGCTATTCATGGTACAGTGCTTACTGAAGCCATGTAGAAATTACTAAATTAATATCAATGTCATTACGAAATTAAACTTATATCCAAAACAAAATTTTAAGCCGATTATGTTTTAAAAACGAGTAGAGCCTTGAGTTATCATGATGCCAAGGTAAATATTCTTCATGCTTTCATGTAAGCCCTTTTTCTGGTAAATTCAGTTTATTTTTAGTCCAAAGAACTTTGTCCCTGAAGGACTATTGTTTTCGTTTTGCGATTTTGCGTTGGTTTACTATAAATGTCCGTTTCGCTTTTCAAAATGTTGCCACCAAATGTTAAGAGTCCTCCATTATATTTGAAGAAATTAAATAATTAGAAATCTGCCTAAATAAATGTATGTTTCTCGCATTGTGATAAAACAACGGTGCATAGAGCCATTGAATTTTGAATGACGTAATCTTACTACGAATATGGGCAGGTGGAAGCCCAAATTTAAAATCTGGAATTTGTTTTATTATGGATTTCATATTTTGAAATCTTTAACGAATTTTTGAGTAACAAACTCAAGGATTTCAAAGTGAGCAATGGCAACGTTGTACAGAAAAACATTTTTATCTCCTGTGCGCAAGACTGTGTATCCGAAATTCTAAAGATATACTCAATTTAAAACTATTTTGCGATATTTGCTCTTGAACTGAATTTTATGCTTTAAGTTCGAAGAACATGATATTTAATAAAGGTAACAGACAAAATGTTACTAAAACGCCTCTTTGGACGTAATTTAAATCTGAAACCTTTCAGATCTTTTTATTTATTTATTTTATTTTTCTCTCTCCCCCTTCTTTTTTTGAAAGGGGGTATCCATAAAGATTATTTAATGAAATGAATTCAAAAATTTACTTCGTGTTATAAGATATTTCTCCCGCCTTCTTAGCAAGCCTTCGTGGTGTGGTGACCTGCACGCTGGGCGCGTATTCCAGAGGTGTGCGGTTCGATTCCCGGTGAAGGCGTTGCTAATTTTTCATCTCTCTTGCTTCCAAAAAATCCTCATATCGCTACAGTGTAACCAAATATTTAATGAAACTGACACTATCTCTTTGAATCTTTTTCTTATTTGGACATTAGTTTCTAAGATGCCGGAACAAGAGTCTTAACTAAGTCTTAACAGGTAGTTTAATGCATAACTACATTTACAATAACACGAGTACTTGACCTTGTAATAATTTATGCATAATACAGAAAAAATATAGTTTAGTAATAGTACGGTAAAAGACGATTACTGTGTACTTGATTGATGAGAACAAAGCATTTTTAAGGTTGCGGAGATAGAAACTTCATGTAATTCAATAATTTTTCGGGAGGCCCAAACTCTGCTTCCTTTTGTATTTAATTTGCCTACATGGAAGTGAGAATTGACTTAAGTACTGCAGCACCTAAATTAATCCTGCTAATGCTGCTACTGTGAAACAGCTGCTCATGCCACCATAATGGAAAATAAAAAATAATGAATGCACTATTTATTATCAAACTCAAAATTTAGAAAAAAATAGTGTAGTAAGACAAATTCTGTTACGAAAAATTAATATCCAGTGAATTAAAAACTAGGTACTAAATTCAATTTATTATACAGTTTTATTCTCATAAGCGTGTAGCTTTAGAGCTTTGGATGAAGAAATATGTGCATCAACTAAAGATTTATTTAACTATAGAAATTTGATGCATTCCATTCCAATACTGAAACCCTGAAGAACATTTAATAAGTAATGCAGTAACAGAAATAAATCTCAGCTGAATTTTTAGCCACTAAAAAGAGCTGAAAAATTTTAATTGTAAAAAATTCTCTGACAAATTTAGACAAGACTCGAACATAGGACTAGATAAGCTCTATTAAACGCTCTAAAATTATACAGTGAATTGATGTTTCTGCGAAGCTTCAGTGTACGATCTACGGGATTTTTACGAACTGACATGTCGATCCCGAAACGTTTATGGGTTTCTTTAGTGTATGTTGCATATATGAAATTTCAGATTTTTAAACTTTTTGTCCTCACGTTGGATTTTTCTATTCCTCAGTAATAATAATAAAACGAATACATAAATAACACTTTAAGTAATTATCTCTTAAAAAAGTTTGAAAAAAAGTTTAAAATATATATTTATTTAGCATACAGTGGTGGCCAAAATTGTGGACACTTTTGGAAATTTTTGTTTTTGAACTTTGTATGCTTATAGAAAACGTTACGTTTCACAAAATGCAAACTTGTATATATCATTTTAAAGAGAATTATTACTAAATTCAATACAAATAATTAAATAATTTGCAATAAAAAAAAAGATAAATGATAATAGTTATCGATATACATTAGATAGTGATGATTGCAGTAAGTTATCAGTACTTAGTAGGGTACCCTATTTTTGATTACAGCTTCACATCGACGTTTCATTGAGCTGGCAAGAGATTTAAGCTCTTCTTTTGTTATTACATGATGCCAGGAAACAATTATAGCCTCAATTAGTTCCCTTTTATTTGATGGGCGCCTCATTCGGACTAGAGTTTTCAAACGGTGCCACAAATTTTCGATAGGATTAAGGTCAGGACTGTTTCCTGGCAATGACAACAATTTAATGCTCTTTGTAAATGTGAACAACCACGACTAATTTTTTACTTCGTGGCTTTTAAAATAATTATCAACTTAAATTATTATAGAATGCTGCAGTAACTAAGCAAAAGGGATTGCAGTAGACAGGAAAATACATTTTACTTTCATGCACGCATTTTACTATCTTTGATTACTTTCTGGCCACAAATGCTAATTATAATTGCAGCTACCTTTCAGATTTGCATCAGTACGGAAACACATGGCTTAATCAAGACTCCGTTCATCTTGAGAGGAGATCCATCAGTCTGTTGAACTAAAACCGTGTCTCTCGATCTCCATAATGGATTAAATTAAATTTGAATATTATTTGAAGAATTACTTACCTTCACGTTATCCATCTCGCGTAGTACTAATATATTATTTGAGTTCATCCATGGGGTAAAGGTCAAATTTTGGTGGTACGTCTAAAGAAGCCAGAAAAAAAATTATGGAATAGTTTCGCAATTGTCAGAGTTTTCGCAATAGAAGATTCATGAACATATTAATTACAGTATTTTTTTTTAAACTTAGACATGTATTAGCAGTTTTAGTAATAAAACGCCTTTAAAAGAAAATCTGATATTCTTCGGACGATTTTCTGGAAATAACTGTTTTTGACAGACTTTTGCAAACTGATTAGTGAAAAAGAATTACACTCCCTCCAATTTTTCATGTAGTTATTTAGTTTTAATTTTTAGATTATACATTCAAGTAAATCAGACAGTAATTCTTCCACGAATTAATTTTGTAAGCAAATAAAATTATTTTCTAGTACATAGGAATGAACCCACCCATTCCTCTTAAACCCACCACCATTCTTCTTAAAAGCTCTAAACTCAAACTATTAACATCAAGTGATAGCATCTACTTTAGTAAAGTCCTGTCAACTTCAGACATTTCCACTTTCAATTCAGGAACAGTTTCCTTTTAACTTGATGACCGCACAGTTAGCTTTGTTTCATCGCATCGGCGCTTGAGGCTGCTCAATGACTTACGATGAGCAACAATTTCCTCAGGCCCGACCTCAACTAATAATTTCAGAATCACAGCCATAACAAGGCCCACGCCCTATTCCGTGTTTGGGCGTGCAGGTGCCGCCCCTCGCTACACTGGCAGAAAAATCTGAAGTTGTCTTCAACGATATGCCTCATACACAGCAAAATAAGTGATCACTGTAACCTTTTTCAACTCAGAAATAAAAACTCTCATAACTTTCAACTCAACAGCTATTACTTATTCGGTGGGAATCGTACGGAAGTGACAATTATTTACTCGGAAAGCTGCAGAGTAAAAAGAGCTGTCTAAATGCGCGAGAAAATTAAATATAATTTAAAAAGTATTTTATGTAATATTTCGGTTTAAAAGTTAGGTTAGGTTATTTAATTACGGCAAAGCCTCGAGGGCTATCTGCCTAAGGGAAGGGATGCCTTCGTGGAGGACTTTCTAAGGGAAACTGGTTCGTATAACGTTACACATGGGGAAAATCACGAAAACACCCATGCAACCAGCCCGTTCGCGGGATTCGAACCTCGGACCAAACTACCAGTGTTCAGCAACGTTACCGCTCGGCCGCTGGTGTGCCATTTTGGTTAAAAGAGGGGGAGGAAACGAAAGTATATTAGAAAATGGAAACATTGAGAATATATGACAAACATATCCATGTGAATTTCCATGAGTTCCCTGAGAAACATGAGACCAGAGTTCCATGCAAACCATCAGAATTACTTTCGTTGCTAAACATACTGGAAAAGAAAAAGGTAGATGGATGCTTAAATGATGATGATGACAAAGCCCATAAAGATTAAATTAGGAAGAAATTTTGGAAGCGAGCATACGACTGACAGCTTCTTTGTCGGCAGAGGATCAACATGGGAAGCTCAAGAAACTGGTTTCAATTCTATGCTGACGTCGGTTCTATGTCTTTGTAGATCCTACAAAATTCTCCATAAAAATTGTAATTTAATAGAATTATTACACTTTTCTGTTATGCACTGTTGTTACTTATAAACCCTGTGTATACTACGGAAATGCCAATTTTGTGGCTTAATTGATTTTATATCGTGTCGACGACGTATAGGCGTCGACTCATTGCGTTGTCGATCATAAGTCTAAGACGACTCTGTATTATATATGGTGATACATGCACATATTAATATTTTCTTGTAGTTTTTATCTCCTTGGAATATAACTGAAATAACGAATTATAAATCTTTTTTAGGGTATTTTCTCTCCTTATTATGTGTCTTAGTGTTACGAACTACAAACCTGTCCGGCTAACAAATGAGAGACATGGAGTTCGAATCCCAACTACAGGATGGCATATTTTCTCCGTTTCATGCTTCGACAAACCTAAAAACTCTAACAATTACTAACAAAGATTTACGAACAGAGTTGTTCTTATAGCCGCTCTGCTGCCGCGCAAAAGGATCCCGGAAAAGGCATGGATGTTTGTAAGGGACTGTGTCACAAGGAACTATCTAAAATACTGATGGGCTGCCCAGACGGCAAAGTGGTTAGTGACTTTGATTGCCGTACCGAAGGGTCCCGATTCGAATTCAAGAGTAGGTATATAATAAAAGGATATAAATTGTCCGCTCCTTCATAAGAGGCAACGGTAACCCACCTATTAAGGAAAATCTTACACCTTAAAACCCACAAGATCTTCGAATATGTGTTTGTAGCAAGAATTGGAATAACTTATTGATTTTAAAAGCAATTACTTCCAACTTTTTACAGCTGACTATATACTATATCTGCTTTCTGAAATGGTAATCAGAAAATTTGTGTTGCCACAAATATTTTTATAATTTAATCCGCTTTCTGACAAAAGTTTTGGTCATGTTTCCACCTTGCGCGCACAGTTTAAAACATTCTGTTGCATAATTCAATTCCATATTTAATATGTAGTTTTTAAAGCATTTAGAAACTACTGTGAACCAAAAATTCTAAGAATTTCATTTAAATTTTTATTTTATTTGGAGTTAGAGTTTATAAAATGTATTTTATTAAAAAATCTGTAATGTTTTCGTGCATAAAGTTTTTTAATATTAAAATATTCACCAGATTTTTGGTTCAGTTAGAAAATAGAGCCCATATAAAGAATTCCATCAAATTTCAAGAATGTACCATTAGCCATTTTTAAAATATCGTGCGCGCAATGTAGAAACATGACGAAACATTTTGTCAAAAAGCGGATTAAATTAAAAAAATATTGTGGCAACACAAACTTTCTGGTTACTAGTTTCTAAAGCATCTATATTATATTATGTAATCAGCTGTAAAAAGTTGGAAGTAATTGCTTTTAAAATAAGTCAAATATCCCAATTCTTGCAACAATCACATATTCGAAATTCCTCCATAATAAAATAACCACCGCTTACGACCTTAGTAGTGGGCAAAGCCTATAATAGCTAGTGCTGACCATTTGAAATAAAACAAAATACTGGTTAACCGAAAGCACTTTCCAGTGGTTTGATGCTAGGGGAAGACGGATAATAGACCTTTATCCGTCCTCCGGTATACTTGCCATCAAAACTGGGCTGGAGCTGCACGGCTAGTTCAGACGGACTATAGCGATGCGATTAAAAGTAAAATTTTGGTGTGCCGCCCGTTTTTACTTGTTTATTTACAAAAGCAAACCAATGATTGAATAAATTTCCAATGATTAAAAGATGTTTAAATTAAATGATTATAAAAAAATAAAGTTGAATAAAACGTTCTCTTAATATAAATTAAACTTTTCTGCATATGTTATTTAAATCAAAGGAATACTTAATGATACGAAGATATAATAACATAGTATTGAATAAAATGGCAAGTCAACTGTGACCGCAACAGAAGCTTCAGTTAAGGCGCTAGAGAAATTAATTAAACTAAACCGGACCTAATGTTCTCAAAGGCAGTTGCATGCCAAATCTGCGAAAAAACAAGACCATGAGTGCGGTTACAAGGAAGTTTCAAAAGGAAACGTAGGTGGCGTCACAACTGACACACTATTGTAAAACCCGCGATAAATTAGATGCAGTAACAATGGGAAGGGGGGATATCTCTTTAAATTACATCGAAAGCCAATTATCACTTCATAATTAGACAATTCACAGAGAGTGGTTTAGCTTCTTTTAATGTTTTTCGTAATTTGACGTCTACATTTGTGTTTATTATTCTTCTCTCGTGCTTTTCTTAAAACGGAAATATAGCACCTGTCATAAAGCTTCAACAATATTTTTCCCCCTTTTAAATAATTTAATTAAATTTTAGATTACAAACTGTTATATATATCAAAAAGTTGGAAAAATACATCAACAGTCATTGACATCACCAAACAGGAAAATAAAGATATATGTATATATATATAAAGGGGTTGGAAGCGTTAAAAAAAAAGTCCGAACTTTTAAACCATCACGTACTCTTTACACGATGTGTGTGGTTTATAAACATGGTTTAATAATTCCGAGAAAAGTGAGCGGTATATATTGAAGATTCATTATGAAGGGGTAGTATGATGGGAGGAGATGAAGGGGGGAGAGAAATAGTCTTCCTAAAAAGTCAGGTGTGTTGCCGCTGGAGGAATGTTGGATAAGTCAGGCAGGTACATCAGAAGAAAGGGTCAACAACCCTGGAGGAAAACTTGCGGCTCCGGAATCTAGAGGGTTGCCGACCATCTTACGTGTCGCCAAGACGCCAAATGCGACAAGACGAAGGATGCGCAAGAGCTGAGATTTAGATGGCACATTGTCAGATTTCCCTTTCATCTCTCATCACAACTCTTTACTCATTTTTACAGACGTAGTAATGAATTATTTTATTCCGTTAATATAACCCAGTATTGGTAACCCAGTATTACATACAAATGTCTCGAAATTCTAAGAAAAACCATGAACGGAGGATTGATTAAAAATTTTTTCCCTAAAAGAGCTCTTGCAGGATTCATTATATTTCTACGAGTTTAAAATTTTTTGAAACTTTGTGTGTCTCATTTCCCATGACCTGAAGTTAAAAAGAAAAATAATGTAAATTAATTGACAATTATATGCTTTACGCAATTTTTTCCGAGTTTTATTCGGGAACTTTCACATCCAGGAACTTTCGCCAAACCGGCTGGCTACAACTTGACTACATATTAATAGAAAATTCATTGAGGAATAGCAGATTTCCTTGGCAAATAAAGAAATGCACCAGATTCTGGATACTGCAAAAAGTGATGGGGACAGAGACTGAAAAAAAAAAAAAAAAAAAAAAAAAAAAAAAAAAAAAAAAAAAGGGAAACTCAAAATTTACTAATCTCAAAATACAGAAAATTACAATAGAAGTCAGATCCCCTAATTTGTCTTGAACACGAATCTATAGGACTCTCACAGATTACTTTTGATGAATTTTAGTACATAAAATATATACTTTCAAATGTTCCAAAATTCGACCTTTATTT